TCGCGCCTTGCGCGCTTTCTGGGCCCGTGGCCCGTCTCTCCTGCCGCGACCACAGCGGGGATGAGCCTGCGCCCCTCGGGGTGCGGGGACACTCGCCTTCCGAGTCCACAGTGCGACAGGAAGCCACTTTGGGGAGGTGTGGCAGCTTGGCGGGGTCGGCGCCCCACTCGGCCCGTGGCCCACGCACGCGCGTCTGCTCGGGCCACGCCCGTCCCCGCCCGGGTCCGCGCGGGGGTCCAGCGGCCGCCGGCGGCGCTCTGCGGGGCGCCCGCCCAGCACGTCCTGCTACCCGCAGACAACACCCCGCTCAGTTGGCGCCGAGAAGCGGAAAGGGAAGCGGCTCTCTTGGAAAGGAAGCCGAGAGGGACGCGCCGGCGCTCCGGCGCTCGCTCGCCTGGACGGGGCGCAGCTAGGCCGGCCCAGGCGGCCGGCCGAGGACGACGCCCGGGAGCAGGCGGCGTGGTGGGGCCCCGGGGAAGTAAGGACTGGACAGCCAGGGAGGCCGAGCGGACACGGAGCCCTGCGGCGGAGGCGGCCGGCCGCGGGCCACCCGGGGCTGTCGGGGCATCGGGCAGCTGTCCCGGAGGAGGGCGGAGGGAATGAAATGAAACTGTGGGAATGAAACTGTGAAGCAGGGACCCAAGGTAGCAACCAAAATGCCCTTTAAGAACTTTACAGGGAGACTTTTCGGTGTCTGTACCTTTCAAATACCTGCTGTTTTAGACACAAGACTCCTATGTGCGAGGGAAGAGATTTGTAAAGCAAGCGTTTCTGGAACGGGCTTTATGGAGAAATCGTCCCTTTTAGGGACATCTGAAACTGCAACGCTCAGTGTCAGGCACTATCCAGGGAGGAGGAACACGGGAAATGTCAATCCGGTGTGAAAGGCCTCAGCCTGGATGTCAGACAGGTGAAGCGGAAGCAACACACACACATAGTATGGGGAAATTTTCTTCATTTTTAATTTACAGCAGAAAGAATATAAAGCATTCAGAAAACATTTTCCATATTTTAAGGGCAATTCAAAACATTTTGCATGGTTTCCAGCAGCTGAGTTCTTCAACAGATCCATTGATTCAATGATGCTTTACATGCACAATTACAAAAATAAAACTTACAAAAAAGAAGACATCTAGACTAGTTTTACATGCAAGTCTCAGGGACCCCCCATTGGGCGCCAACTACTGTGTGGAACTGCCATAAGCGACCGTGCAGCCAGAGAGGGGTTCAAGTTATTGTCTTTATTTCGTTCACACAGTACAGCTGATTTCAAATGGGTAACGAGAATAGCAATTAAATCTTCAGGAGACAGAATAAGATTAGCTATTAATTTTACAATGAAATCCTACTCCTGGCACTTGGGAATTCAGATTATCCAAGACAGCTGCGCTTACCTATCGGCTTATATTCAAAATGAAGATTCGCAACCAAGAAAAAGCGTCAGCGATGCTTCGTTCGGTGGAAGTGCATCTGACCTCACCTGGGATTCACAGTTGTACTGGTAAGTTACACAGGAAGGCCCGGCACCTCCCTCCTACCCCTTTCATAAGAACCCTCCTCATTCTGTGTCAGTCTTTATCTTCCCGAATTTTCTAACTTACTCAGCTAATAATGTAGCATGTGGAACATTAAAAAAAAAGTGAGGGTTAAAGCAAACCCACTGAGGTCATTACTCTTGTCAAAAGGTTGGTTGGTTGTACCGTAATCAATGGAATAAACGTACCTCAATTCGGTGTTAATGTAGGGTATTCTCAAAGAGCCGAGTCCCACGTATTGTCTGTAAATTACTCAGTGTCCTCCTATAGGTCGAATTGTGTAACAGAACAGGGGCTTGGGGGCGACCGCTGCAACGTAACCCACACGTTAAAACAGAATCGAGTCAGGTCATCTACAGATGTGCAGGTGGCTCTGGGTGTGGGGCTGCCCCTGTTGTCGAAGCTGATCACAAGCAGTAAGACGTGTACTGTACAGTAATTCGAGGTTGGCAGTGAAAGGAAGTAATTAAAAAACAAGTACGATTATAGAAAAGGCACCAAGAGCACTGACCCCAGCTTTGACACAACCGTTTCGTATCTACTTCCCTTCCAGAGACACCAGTTTACAAGCTTATTCGTGAATATTTGCAGGCGTCACAGGAAGTCTTGAGTTTGAATTGATAGTTGGCAGCCAGAACCAAGAAAAACCGGTGATCTCAGCTTCTCACACCAACTGATCCTGAACTGTAGCCTGGAGTTTTAAACTGGCACGGGCAGCGCACGCTCGCCTCTCCGCTTAGCTTTAAGAGCGCGCTGTTGGAAGCTTCCGGCTTCTTTGGCTCCTCACACTGTGTACACAGTAACGGATCACGACATCCCTACGAGACCAGTTTGCATCTTTGTGATTTTTAGGATTTTTGTGTGCAGTATTTTTTCTTTACATTTTCTGATTTCCAGCAGGAGATATGAAAACGTGAGACATTTTTCTACTTTTCATCCTATTTCTTTTGTCAGGTTTTGATCGTTCTAAGTGTTCTTTGTCGGAGTGAGTGGATGGTGTTAAGCTATATACTGATTCATCTTATGATTATCTGTTTAGCAAAAGTAACTTAATTTTCCTAAGCAATATTAGCATTCACATTACTTGGCACCATTGGCAAAAAAATTTGAAATAAAATAAAATAAACTCCTGGTAGCCAAAATTAAATGTAAACATATCCTTTTTTTTAAGTAATGTTACTCTGCCTTTTTTCCTAAGTCTAAATACAGTAGCTCTTTTTTTTTTTTTTTGCAGTGTAGTCATGCTTTAGCAAAATGTTCTTCTAAAGAACATTTAAAATAAAGTACTCTTATAGTGAAATAAAGTTTTTTTTTTGTTTCATTTTACAGACCATAGCCACTAATGCTTTGCTTTTGTTCATTTCTTTTTTCTTGGTTTCATGCACATATCTCTTTAATATATACAATATGTACAAACAATACATCCACGTTTTTCTCGCTCATTCAGACAAAACTATACAAATAATTTTATCTCGCCATGTTAGTGACCTTTGTGAATAAAATATTTAGCAATTAATATAATCCCTTTCAAATATTTTCTCACTTTCCATTTCTACCTTCTCTATATACACAGAAACTGCTCCGTTTGGATGAGATATCGCCAAAAATATGGGATTTACTGGCCAGAACGCAGCACCACTCTGATCTTTTAGGTGGCAAATGTCCAGGCAAGGTTTATGATTCCTTAGAATGATTACAGCTTCCAAGGTTACTTAAGAAAGCGACATGCTTTACCAATTCTCTAAGTTAATTCTCATTGCACGTGAAAGTAAGGCAAAGAAATGAAAGTGCCGACTGTGAGAGGGACAAGATGGTGACTGCTCGCAGGCCGGGGGTGGGGGGGGCAGAATGAATTTCAACTCTCAGCGGTTCTCATGACTCCCCGCACATTCCCCGTTCACCACACACCCGCCCCTCTGCAAATCCCCACAAGACATCAAAAACCTGCAGATTTCAAAAGTTGCATTAAGTGTGCTGTAGAGATTAGAACAGAAACAAACACACAAACAAAGGAAGATCGAAACAGTGAAGGAAATGAGAACGCGGACCCGGCCAGATCTGGGCGCTCGGGTCCTCCACTGAGAATCAACCCCAAAGATTCAGCTTCTTGGAAATGACTGACGGGTGCAGGAAACAGCCCTCTCCCTTGTTGCATCCCCACCTTTTCTTATCAATATTTTTGGTATAAATATTTGTACAGTTCCACACGATGTTTGAGTACAGCCCTATGTGAGAGGAAGCCGGCTCCCTCCTGAGGGAAGGAGGCCTCTCAGTTCCTTGTTTGCCCATGATCCAACAGAAGATTGAGTTCCAAGATGTCTTGCTGATCAAATGAAAAGTTGTCCATGAAAGTGCAAATGCAATGACCAAAACATTCCTGTTAAAATCCTGCAGCTGATCGCCCCCAAACTGCAGAGGGAGTGTGTGTGTGCGTGTGCGTGCGTGTGTGTTGCGTGTCTCTGCTAAAAACGGAAATGAAAACAGTTTGGAAAGCAATGTCACATTGCTAAGGGATGCTGCTGTGTGTCTTCAAGTCCCTTGGCCCTTTTCAATTCTTTCACTCTGGAAGAGAAACAGAACAGAACACCAGGTGATAACTACACAGTGAAGCGGCACCCGGGCGAGGAGGGGCGTCCCTGAGGGGCACCCCGAGACCCTTCCCAGAGTCCACGGCCAGAGCAGCCTCGGGCACAGGCCGAGCCAGACCCTTCACCCTCCCTGAGGTCCTGCTCCACCCCGAGCCCCATCAGCAAGCTCGCCGTCTGTGGCTGGGCCAGCGAGAGGAGTGTGCTCCCCTCGGGGAAGGCGACTTCAGTAACTCTCTCTTCAGCCTGGAGGGCGCCCGGGTCAGGCCCTGTCACCAGCCTGCCGCACCGAGGGCACCCGCACACGCGTTTGGCCCTAGCTATCGGGGCGGGGGCGGCCGGCTCCCGAGCCCTGCGGCCTGCCTCAGCACCTGCCTCAGCACCGAGGTGACTTTCGCCCCAGGTCCCTTACTCTCCGCCCACCAGTGGCACTCTCTCCAAAGCGCTGCGCGCGCTGCCTCAGGCTCCACAGGGCACAGCATGGTGCTCTGCTCTAGAGTAGTCAGCGGGTCCTCTCCGAGCTTAAATAGGCCTGCTGCAGCACCGTGGGCGCTCCCAGCCACCGGTGACTCATCGGGGATCGCCTCTTGCCTCTATTTTCCACGTGAAAATCTGCCTTGGGTTTTGTGACATGGCTGCCGATGGAGATGGGGCCCCGGATGAGCTGGTGAAGTGCACGGATGTTCACGTCAAGAGCTCGCTGGCAGGAAGATCAGATGCCAGGTGACCCTGAGGCCAGCCCGAGGCCGTGCCGGGTAAGCCTCGCTGAGTTTATAGCCCTGCGAACCACAGTCGCACTTGTTTCCCAGAAATGGGTGGGAGGATGATTTTAACCGGACACCGGGGCAGCTCCTCAGCACCTGTAGTGTCTCCCGCAGCCCGGCCAGGCCGGTGGCCCTAGGCTTCAGCCCCACACGCTGCGGACACCCTGGCATTTGGCACTGTCCTAGTAAGCTCAACTGTCACTTTTAAACACATGCTCATTTTCCTGCTGAACAGATTCTTGATGACACGCGGGTGGGAAGAAGACACTCTGAGAAAACACGCCAGCTGCCCGCTGCCCACCGCCCGCCACAGGCTGGCCGCTGGACGGAAGGCTTATCAGCTATAAGAGCAAGTTAAGAAAGTAATTATATTTACCACCTCCAAGCAGGTTCGTGTGAGTGTACTGCAAAGCGGATACAACCTCTTCAAAGAGAAGATGCTCTCTTTCAGAAAGCTTTATCATGCCACTAGCATCAGTACTAGAAGAATGGTGACGCTGGCAGACGCGTTTGGTTTAGTCACTAAGTGCGCCCAGCTCGGCCACACGGCGTGTCTGCAAAACCGCCCGCACCTTCTTTCTCAACAGCTGCGTCCGGCACCCGTGGCCACCTTCGTGGCTGGATCCGGGTTTTATTTACTTCTGAATTTTACGAACAAATATGCCGCGGATTCTGAAAAATTTCAGGCTAATTTGGATGCTACTACAGTACAGAACGGTGCATCATTTTAGATCCCTGGCTTTGGACATGCATACTTGATAAATCAATGGCTTTTTAAAAATTGAAACATGCTATCGTCCGTGTTCAATTTTTAAACATGCAATATCTAGACTATCAGCCCTCTTGGCTGGAAAAATGCAAGGCGTGCACAGATGCCAACGTGACTCCTGGGCATGCAACGTCCGCACGCGTGGCCTCTGCGCTGACTTGTGCAGATGTGCATGCGTCCGGGGCTGAGCGCGCTCTGCGCCGGCGGGACCCGGCCAGAGATGCAAGTGGCTCCGTCACCCATGGGCGTCTAGGACTTGGAGACTCCTGAACTCAGAATCTGTGGCACACACAGAGAGGACCGTTCTCGGCTCCCCAGTGACCAGTGACGCTCCCAGAACACGACCTTCACCACCGAGAGGAAACAAGGACTGTCAGCTGGAAATGTTGCGCACGTCTCAGACCAGAGAATCTAATCAGCTCGGACTGGCGGGTGTGGCTTTTCTTCTAGTTGAAATGGCCCTATCTGTTCTCAGTTTCTTTTGAAACCGACTGGGAAGTCAACCAAGGGCTTCCTCGTGTCTTGAAGCCCCCATGAACACCCCTGCTGTGAAACAGTGGCGACCTCTCGGGCCACCAAGATGGGGAGATGCTCATCCACCCCCGAAGTGACCCTGAGAGCACGCAGGGAGAGCGGGAGCACCCTGCTTTCGGGAACACCCCCAGACCGTGCTAATGCTGACCTCACGGGGAGATTTCTGTTTCGTGACGGAGTTTCCACAGGATACAGTGCTGTGTATGACTTAAATGACTTAGCCGGCAAACTTTTTATTTTTTTTAAACAGAAAGTTGTTGTTAAAGGAGGAATTTCAGAAAGGGAGACAAGGGGGGCCGGGGCCAGAGCGCTCACGTGCCAACAGCACCCAGACCCCTGGCGCTGGCCACCTTGCTCCGGCTGTGGGCTCTCACGCGTGAAGGCGGCGCCTGGCCGAGGGAGCCCTGCCCGGGACGCCCCATCCCGAAGCGCAGTGCAGGGGTGCGGGCCGAGAGCCTGACTTCATCCCACTCTGCTGCCCCTAATATCTCAGGATAAAACATTTAAAAAATTGCTGGGTTTTCAAAAAAACCTCATAGAAAACACATTTTGGGAAACTTTCCATAGCATGAGATGAAGAGGTTCTGATGACCACCGTCGTGTTTTCTCAACTCTGGGAAGCCATCCTGTCTAAGACCTGATGCTGATTTTATTACCGTGTTTCTGAGGGGAAAAATGCCTGAACATAAATGTACACGCTGGCGTGGAAGTCAGGCCTGGACACGCGGTACCCGCAAAGGCAGGGAGGCAGAGGTGTTCGCTTCCCTCAGGTGCAGCTGCTACCTGGCCTCACAGTCTAGGCGGAAGCGGCGTCTGAGTGGAGTCTGGTGCTCCCTGAGGGTGCATCGTTAGAGTAAGAGAGGGGCTTTTTTCTGTTGTTATGAATCACGTTGGATAACACAGTGTCTGAGTGTTCGATTGCTTCCAAAGAAACAGAAGAGGAGCCATTGGCTCAAGGCAGCGTTTCACGCCTCTGGCACCGGAATGCCTGCTGGCACATCAGAGACAGCTAACTTACAGCAGCGTGGGGAGGAGTTTCAGGAACGGCTGCCTTGAGCCACGCAGGGGGAGCCACTAAAAGGCGCCTGTTCATCAAAAATCCCTGTAGCTGCACTCGGGGCGAACAGTTTGATCTCAGGTGATTCCTCTTGCTCATCTGTTTCCAGAACGTGCCTCAGTGAGTAGAGCTTCTTTCTGAATGACAACTAGTCCTGCTTGTCAGCCTTGGAACAGGTGACCTCCCAAGGTCGCCACCGGTCGCTGCGTGCCAGCCCTCTGTGCCTGACATGTTCCTATGCCGTGCTCACGGGACAGGGAGGGACTGAAATCATCAGGGAAGGAAAAAGTTGGGAACTGGATAGGCCAAACCCCTATCACTGGTGGAACTCAGTTCGCGGACGCCACACGCTCTATGCGGGCCGTGCAGTCATCAGACTTGGCGCCTGCAGAACAAACTCTGGAAACTGAAATCAGACTTGAAAGCAGCCGCCACGCCCCCTCCCCAGCTACACCGTTAGACACAGGCGTCCCGCCACACGCTGCCTTGAGCTGCACGAAGCCCGGGGAGTCCCTGAGCTTGGGCTAAGGAGGCAGACTGTCTGTTAGACCTGTCAGGGCTAAGCAAGCTCCGGGAGGAAGCTCCTGCAAAAACAGACCCATCCATCCTGCCGACTTCTGAAGAGCTTTATGCAGAAGACAGGCAGAGCAGTCTTGAGGCCACGAACACTGTGGGGACAGAACCCAGGGCCCCTCAGGCGCAGGCCGGACGGCTGGCAGGAAGCCGAACCTCTGTGACCTGGACCCCAGGGCCACACACCTTGGACCTGCGGCCCTTCAACCAGCACAATGAAAGACAATGCCGGGAGGTTCCTGAGCCTTCCAGGCAGAGGACGATCACTGCTCTGGGCGACTGTAGCCCCCCCCCCCCAAATGGCACCGCCATGTACTGAAGTGATGTGGTAAGCAACAGCACGGAAGCCAGCAGCCCAGGTCCGGTTCCTTCGGACGTCCAGCGGCCACTGTGGGTCCGTGAAGGAGGCCTGCTCCAGAGACGTGTGCAAAGAATGGCCCCGTGGGTAAAGCATGAGGCAAGCTCGGTAGTGTCGGCCAGGGGTGCTGCATGAGTCGGCGGCAGCCTGGCAATGCTGGGCGTCAGGAGGACAAGGGCGGCGTCCCGCTTAGTTACCTGGAGCTCTGAGAGCTGCAACAGCTCGAGGGCAACTTAGGGAAACAGAGATGTTGCCATTTTCCAGAAATCTCATTTGGATTGCAAAACAAAAAAAACAGAGAGGCCCGATAAGAATGGCACAGAGCATGTTGTCTGCCACTTAACACACACCACCGTGTTCCAAAAATATTCATTTCCTAAAAGAGGCAAGTGAGACAACATTACTTTGGAGACGGAACCCGCACCAGTGACACGCCCACGTCCGCGCCTCGCCGAATGCACCGGCCACTTGGCAGCTGCCCCGCGCTGCCAAACTCAACCCGGAGGGTGTGGCACAGCCGACGCTTCTCCCGGGGAACCAGCTACGCTCGAGAGCCGTCAGAGGGCCCATGACAATGCAAGGAGCCGGCGGGACCTTCAGCCACCTCGCTGCCCGCCCTGCCCGGCACCGCCCACGAGGCGCTGGCCGCACCTGGCATCTGGAGCCCTGCGGTCGACGACACAGGGCTTTTGCTAAGCTTCTGTGACCAGCATGTGTCTCTTCTTCCAGTGAGACAGTCACTGACCCTGGGGGACGAGGCTGGCAACTTACAGGGGCGCGAATCCCCTCTGCCTGGCCAGCTGCCTGCAGGGTGTCACCGTCTCGAGCCCCGCCGGGGAGGCGGTGCACAGGCAGGGACAGAGGGATTTGCCCGGGTGTGGCTTTTCCGAGACCGGTGAGGACATTTTCTGCCATCTGCAGAGAGTGAGCATCTTAGAAGTGGGAGCCGCTTACAGCTGGAGAAACTGGCTTCCCACGTGGCCTCACCCCTCTGGGGCTGCAGCTGTGGGGTGCCCTGGTGGCTCCCCCGTTTCCTTCCATGGATCTCTGCTGTGAGACCAAGGAGTGTCCTGCTGGAAACACTGGGCGTCTCCTGGAAGCGGCGTGCCCAACACGCTCCCTCTAGGTTTCCTCGACCTTACATCCCTCCCGTCACTCGCGGGAAGTAGTTCACACCTCAGTTAACTAAGAAAAATACGAAGACTGTCGACTTAGTGGCCTGTCTGTGTAGACCTAGAGCGTTCTCTAAAACAGCTTTTGTGTCCAGAACCTATGGACAAATGTCCTGGCAGTGTCCAGGACCTGGAGGGCCACACTACGCCACTGGGGAGTCAGGGCCAGTGGGGCACAGGAACGTCCCCCCAAGGAGAGGCTGCGTGGGCCCCAGATGGGTGGTGGAGGGGTCTGGCGCTCACGCTCGCCTTCGCAAGCGGAAACCACCAGTCTGGAGGCAGAAGTAGCGCCTCGGCTGGCTGGACGCCGGCCTGCGCGGCCGGGTGCTGACGTCACCTGCGTCTGCGTCGTCTGCCCCGTTCGCATGGGCTGGGGTCCCGTACTTTGGCTAGCACCGTACCCGAGAACTGGACTCGGAGCTTTCAGATGCCATCGTTTGGGGTACATGCTTCCACGTCTTGACTGCGGTCTAGCTGCCACCAGCTAAGGGGCCCGTTCGCTGACACAAACGGCCACGCTGTGAGAGGCCGGCTGTGGGTGGCCGGACAGAGCACGCTCGTGCTCTCCTCCGCGGGCACACAGGAGCCACCAGGCCGGGAGGAGGCCCAGCCTCTCGGCTGAACTACGAGCTGCCCTGCAGACCAACAGGCGCGAGGACTTCAGGGACCCGCAGGGCTGCGGGAGCGCAGGTCGGGGCGCAGCGGCGCCATGACACAGGCCGGCTGCGGCTGGCACCGAGGCACCTTTGGAAAGGCGCCTTAGAAGCTGCGTGCAGCTGCTCAGTGTCTTAAGGACCCTCCTTCCCCGTGAGTGCCCGGGTTCTCGGTGGTGCGCTAGGTCTCGGTCAGCAACAGGCCTGTCACCAGGAGCGGTCAGCAGCTTCTGTGCGACACCGGCCTGTGCTGCGCTGAGCGGAGCCGCTCGGCCACGCCTGCATTCAGGGCTGCGAGCGGAGGGATACGGCATCTGCCCACGCAGAGGTGAGGGCCCGAAGAGAGGCCAGAGGCTGGTCCTTTCTCCCCTTCCAGACACAGACTCGCAGCCACCCGGGACACCAAACAGGACTCAGCAGGGGACCGTCCAGTTCTTAGGGGAACTAGTTACGTTTACAAATGAGTCAGCTGTAGTACTGTAAACGAAGCTACAGCGACAGGTCTTCGTGTAAACACTCGCCCCTGTCCTCTCCAGCCGCTGACTCCATCCCCGGGGCTGCCCCTGCTGCGCCAGGCTCGCGGCCAGGCAGTGGCCTTCACTCACGGCCTGGCGCGTCAAGGCCGAGCCTGTCAACCCCGGGCTTGAGAGAATGAACTCCCATGAGCTGTGGCGGGCAGCACCTCTCCGCGGCTTCCGGACGCCGCAGTGACTGCGGCTGGCGTGAGGGCGGGGGCACTGAGGGGGCTGCCCACCCAGGGGCGCCCCGTCACATTTCAGATGCAGCTTCCCTTACGACGACAGGGAAAACACCTACGGATCCAAACTCAAGTCTCGCTGTGCTAATTCCATTCAGATTTTAAAGATTGGCTGTCTGGCCGCAGCCTCGACGCCGGGCGCTCGTGTCTGCAGAGACGGATGCCTCTCGCGGCCCCTCACAGCGGGCACTGCCAGCTGCTGGCTGCCCAGGACACACATCCTGTGCCGGACACCGATCCGTGGCCACGTCTGGAAACACAAACCCCAAGGGGTGTCCAGCCTCCAGCGCGGCACGGGACGCCCAGTTCAGGCCCTGACGCAGCCTTTCTTCTCCTGGGGCCGCCCGGCCCCTCTCTCCCCTATGGGAATGGTCTGGCAGGCCTGGCGGGGTCTCTGGGGCTGACTTACCTCAGGGCACCAGGGAAGGGAGGGTGAGAAAAGGGGGCTACTGCGGGGGTCACAGGGGGACAGTGGTTCTGAACAAGAAACAGATTAGTGTGATAAAGACAAAGCGAGACCAAGCGTTCTGGGCCCAGCGCCTGCAGGGGGCGGGAGCTGGGGCCCCTCCCGTGGCCGTGATCGCCGGCTGGCCGCGGGAGACGCTCCCCACAGCGCAGCCTCCTCAGACGTGCTCCCTGTGGTTTGGTGGCAGTGAAGGCCCCGGTTCTGAGCATGCCCTGCGGGAGAAGGGTCGCGCTCTCTCATGCACCGCGCCACCACGGCTGGAGACCGCTTCCCCGCTCGGGAGGCAGCCGTGTTAGTAGTTAGGGTTAGTTCTTATTTTATTTTATTTCATTCACAATGGATGTGAAACTTACTGGCATACCTAGGCTGCAGCCCCATGCAAGCAAGCAAAAAGCAAAATATTGAAAATGGAAGAGAAAGAGAAACTGGCTAGCAGGCAGCTAAACTCACCCTTTTGTACCGCCTATGGTCCACCAGGGGGCTTTAGACAGTGAAACAACACCAGAGAGCTATTAGCACGGGAGGTCACAACAGTCTCATCAATAGCTTTACTTCTACGACAACAAAAGATTAAAGTGGTGCCTTTTGGGGGACAAAGAAAAGGAGAGCGGTGGGGTATGTGAAATGAAAGGGAGGAATTCACCGATTTTAGCATAAAAATGTTGGGGTCCTGCGACTTAGCAAAATCCGTGGACCTGAGGCTGGCTCTGGAGTCCCCAGGCCTCTGCCAGGGTGTAGAGGGTGTAACGTGAGTACCTCCACCCTAGGACACGGGACTCAGTTACCCTTCAAAGCACATTCCATCACCCAGAATGGAAATGGGGTGGTGCATGCACCCGGGGGAGCAGGAGGTCAAGCCCCAGGCTGAGCTTCAGGGTTTCTCCACTGGACGCACAGGAGAGGAAGTGAGGGGTGACCAGCCGGCCGGGCCCAGGTCGCGGGGTCTGCCTGTGCCGGCTGAGCGTCAGTGACACGAGCCGCAGCCTGCACTTGTCCCCATGGGGGGGGCGGTGAGGCCTGGGCCGCCTCCCTGCTTTACAAAGAGCCCTCTGAGACACAAGGGTGGCCCTTCCTTCAGCCCCCCAAAGGCAGTCTGGGCACCCGCCTGTCCGCGAGCTCACACGGTCAGGTCAGCCTGCCCACGTGGGCAGGGCAGGACTCTGGCCAGGGCACGCGGCAGACTTCAGGAGCGGCCGCTCGTGAGGGCCAAGGCAGCATTACTGTGACTTGTTTCCAGTTTGAGGAAAGAAATGGAAGAAGTCAGAAAAATTTAGCTGGTGAACCTCCTGTCTGTCGAGTTGGCCCAGCAGAGAGCAAGGCGGGGGCACTTTTCCCGAAAGCCCCACCTGGGGGGGCTGCCGCCCGCAGGCCTGCCTGTCCCAGGGCACTCACCCTGCTTCTCGCCAGCTGGCGGGCGAGCCGGGGCAGCAGCGGCCGCGGGGCTCGCGAGGTTACTGAAAGGGGCCCCGTGGACCTTCTCCCCAAATGAGGCAAACCACCTGCTGCGTCTGGTGCTAAATGTCCTGGGTCTGGGGTGGTGGACAAGAGGGGAGACTGACTTGGGGGTGAGGCTTGAAGAACGGAGGTCACCATGTCACCGTCACTGTCTGCCTGCGCCCCCCGAGGACTTCCTATCTCAGTGCTGACAAGCGTCTCACTGGGTGGCTGGGGGGGAGGGCGAGCTCCGGCCCTCGCGGCTGAGCCGCCAGGCTGGCTGGGCCAGGGCCAGGACAGCGCCCGCTGTCCCGCCGGAAGACACGGGGCGTCTGAGCCTGTCCGCAGGAGCGCAGGGCCGCGGCGGCGCTGCGTGGGTCCTTCCCTCGTGTCAGTGAGCTTGGTTAATTGAAGCAGAAGTGCAAGCAGCCAGTTAAACCCCTACTCAGACTCAATGTCAAGATACCTTCAAAGTGAGCAGCCAGACAGTTTTAGGAACAAGAAGAACTGAAGTAAAGTGAAGCCTCAAGGTATAAACTAGGCCTGAACGCCAGGGCACTGGGCGCAGTTAAATCAGAAAGAAAACATGACAGCAGAGAGCCTGCTCTGAGCCTGCTCCATCAGCCTGACAGCTCCTGGCCGAGCCCAGACAGCCTGGCCAGGGAGCGCCAGGGCGGTGGCAGAGGGACGGTGCTGGATCCCCACCGAGCACCCTAGCAGTCCCCAGCCCCTCCCCGAAGGCCTCGTCCTCACAGAGAAAGCGCCCTTCTGAGAGACAACGAGACACTCCTGCAGCTGAGGTCCGTGAGGAGGCCGCGTGAGCAGGCCACTGAGCAGAGGCGGGCAGGTTCCTGGGCTGGGCTCCTGGGCTGGGCTCTCGGCGGCTCTGGCCACAGCCCTGCTGACCACTGCATGTAAACCAGCACTCGCCAGCAGAGGGCACCACCCTCTGTGGAACTGACCACAGGAAAGGGCCAGGAGAGGGCCCCAGTGTGAAGACACGGAGCCCCGGGGCCCTGGGCACCAGTCAGAGGGCCGGGGAGTAGAAGCCCGTCTGGCCACGCTGTGCCAGCACCCGCTGCTAAGCAGAGCACCTGATGCTCCCTGCCCTGCAAGGCTGTCGGCCCGGCCCCCAGCTGCTGCGCCCCATCACGGAGTTCAGCTGTCCAGCGTGGCCAGACGCTGGTGCTAGCGGGTCGCAGGGCCTTGCTTTCCACAGGTGGCGGTGAGGGTGTGGTGACTGGGCGCTTTCTCGTGTTCTGTGTGGGTGAGATGGAGGTGGGTGAAGACTGACTTACCTGTGGCGACAGCGGCGTAGAAACCTCATTATTTTTCGAGCAGCTTGGTCCTGCTTCTTGGTGAGCAAACTGCTCCTGCAAAGTCAGAATTCTGCTGTCACGGGACAGGCGCTGTGCCAGCAACAGTGCAGGTCACAGACTGGGCAGCGGCAGGGCCACGCTCACCGCTCGCGCCTCAGCCCGGCAGCGCAGGCACAAGCTGCTTCACCTGAGCGGGAGGGAGACGCCGCTGGAGCCCCGCTCGCGAGGGGCCTGCTGCTGGCCAGGCTCAGCTCTGAGGCGGAGTCACCTGAGCGCCACTCTGGGCTGTTGCTCCCTAAACTTCCTCCAGGGCACCGGCTGCGCCCAAGGCCGCCTCTCCAAGTGGAGCTGCAAGGGCCCCCCGGAGGCTGACCAGCGGCCTGCGACAGAGGCGGCTCTCTGAGCACAGGTGGGGCCAGGCCACTCGGATGCAAGCGGACGCATGGCGGCCATGTTCAGTGCAGTCATTTACTACGGAACTAAGTGTCCACGGACAGAGGACTGGGCAGAGTGGCCACCCTGTGGAGTAGTATTCAGCCACAAAGAAGGGGAAACGCTACCACTCACGCAACACTGACTGAGGCTGTGTGCAGAGAGCGAGTCGGGGTGTCAGGGACACCCCATGGGCGCTCTCGGGGAGAGGAGCAAGCAAGGCGTCAAATCGGACACATGAAAGCAGGCGAGCTAATTCTAAGTAGTGGACGCTCATTAACGAGCAAGGTGTCCGCGCCGGGGTAGGGCGGGGGCGGGCTGGAGGCGCGGCAGTGGTGCTGGGAGGAAAAGCTGCGGGCTGGGGGGAAGGAACGACCCCACAGGAACAAACCGACTTTGGTGATGTCATCCATCAAACAGGAGCAGGAAGGTGGCGAGTGGGCTGAGGTGGAGCCAGCTCGGGGACAGTGAGGCCCAGCACGGCGCCTGACGGCCGGCAGGGGGCCGGCGGGGCGGCGCAGCCCTAGCACAGACCTGGGGCCCACAGAGCTCTCCCCGCACAGAGCCCCCACCTGAGCTTCTGCTGGACAATCACAGCTGTCCGGCGAGCCTGCCGTCTTTTGCCGAGTTTCTTGTAGCTCCGGTAGTACTTCTGGATCAGCACTGCGGCCCGCCGGCTCTGCTGGAACTTCTTTTGTTCGTAGTAACTTCGGAATTTGCTCTGGATAAGGATGGCGGCCTGTGTCATCTTTTTATAAAGTGCATACTGCAGAGGAGAGAAGAACGGGCACTCCAGTAACAGCTGCGCCGCGCAGGGTGCTGTGAGCTCGCGGAAGGGGAAGGCCAGCCAGGGCCCCTGGAGGCACAGGGAAACCGCCCTCGGGCTGAGCCGGCCCCTGGGTACAGGCTGGGCACAGGGAAACCGCCCTCGGGCTGAGCCGGCCCCTGGGCACAGGGAAACCGCCCTCGGACTGAGCCGGTCCCTGGGCACAGGGAAACCGCCCTCGGGCTGAGCCGGCCCCTGGGCACAGGGAAACCGCCCTCGGGCTGAGCCGGTCCCTGGGCACAGAGAAACCGCCCTTCCCCAAAGGCAAAGCGTGACAGCCAAGGGTCCCTGTGGACAGCATGTTCCTCCAACGTGCCCTCCCGGACACAGAGCCCTGGCCCCTCTTGGAAAATATTGATGGCTGTACATTTAGATGTTTAGGATCTTGAAAACACACGAGAGCGCGTGAATTCACATGTGTAGGCCACAGGCCCTGTCTGAGCCTGCAGCGTGGGCGCGGCCCTGCGGGCGCCCGGCCCCACACACTGGCACGCCGCGCCGCTGCCAGCACCCGGGGCCCAGCCGCCTTCCGAGACAAAGTGCTGAGTTACAAGGTCCCAAATACAAGGCTTATCATGAAACGCTGACACCTTTAAGCCATTTAACCTGCAAAAGATGAAGACTCACAAGACCAACATGGCTGGGGTGGGGGTTGCGCCAGGGCACCCAGGAGGCCTGGGACAGGTCCCAGGCCCGCCCCGTCCGTCGGCCTTCTGCACAACTAGCCGAGTGCTCTTTCCCTTCCAGCCTGGCGGCCCGAAACTACAGAGCTCTCTGCAGCCGTGTCCAGACGGCCGCCAAGAAGCTTGGCTGAGGAGAAGGCGGATGTCTGTGTGGATGAGGTGGGATGAGGGACGGAAACGGCCTTCTCGGCCCTTCCCGACACAGGGCCCCTCTGCGGGACCCGCCTGGGTCCTGTCTGCCCCACTGGACGTTTCCTCGGTCCAGACCTTCAGGACAAGGGCGCCCTGCCCTCAGGGTCTCTAAGGCGCCCGTCGCCCCGGCCTATGCCCGAACGTCCGGGGCCCGCAGGCGCGGGGGAGGGCGGCTAGCCGAGGCCTAGCGCGACTGGCTGGGATGAGTCCTCAGATGGACACCGGCCAAGAAAACGTGACCGTTACTGGCAAACCCGACTCCAGCTGAAAACCACGTGCCCAGAGGACAGATGCGCGTGCCAGGGGCCGGGGCAGGCCCGCCGGGTGGCCAGGCCGGCTACTGGCCCCTGTGGCTGGTGATGGGTGTGGCGTTAGTGATTCTGTGGAATGGCTTGTGAGAGGGCTTGGGTGGGTCATTACCTTCAAGGCTATCCATGTCAGCTTGGGGGAAAAACAGAAAATACAAGGTTAACGTTAGATTGCTGAAGACCATGAACTGAAAACCAGAACCAGTCAAACTCCCAAAAAAAAAAAAAAAAAAAAAAAAAACTAGGAAGAGCCAGGCCACGCTGGCCCCGCCTCCGTCCTGCAGAAGGCTCGCCTTGTATTTCACCTCAGCTTTTTAAGACAATCAGCTTTTCAAAACAATGTGCCTTCCGCCTTCCTGGCTGTGGGTGACACTCCCTCGGGAGCGGGTTTCTTGGGAAACCAGGCTGGTTTCTAGAATGAATACCTGTCGCTACCACAGACGTGGGACTCTGGCTCTGGGAGCCGGCCATGCTGGGGAGGCCGGCACCCCGCAGAGGCCGGTGTTCCCGCTGCAGAGCTACAGGCATGTGGTGTCAGCGTTTACACAATAGACCTGCATGTTCTGGGATCGTGAACTCGGCGGGCTGCCGACCCCTACTCCCCATGAACAGGGCGCCATCCTGGAAGAGTCTAAGCCAATGACCGCCCACCCCAGAGGCCCAAGCCCCAGCCCTTACCCTTAGCCAATCCCAGAACCCCGTGTGACCATCACACCCCTCAGCCTCCGTCAGGCCTCTCATGGAAACTAGAGCACAACCGAATGCCAGATTCTGGAGTCTGCTGACAGGACAGAACCGGAGCACCTGACCCGGTCCAGACCCAACCGGGCATGCTTTACCATTTTCTAGTCCCTGACAGTCAGAAAGGTCTCACGCTACGACTCCTCTGAACCTCCGCACCTTCGTCTGCGAAATGGGGTCTCCACGGTTTTACACCATTGTTAAGGAGCACTGAGGCTGTGGCTGGAAGGGCCCAGCCAGGAGAGGCCTGGACACAGCCCCTCGCCCTCGGAGGGAGCGCGTCCGCCCTGAGGAGGTCCAGCAGGAGACAGCACAGCAGCCACGCCTCCTGCGCCCAGAATGAGTGGATTCTGTAGGGTGATCTGGGCTTCCGGAGATGTCCAAAGTTTTTTTTACAGTTCTCCCTTTTAAAAATGGGGGAGAAGCTACAAAGAAAAGAGGGCGGAGGATGATGTCACGTATGTCATTCAAGCGCAGAGATGACGGCGCTGCTCCGGCCCGCCGAGGGTCCAGCCTCCCCAGAGGTGGCCGCAGCAGGGTCATCGCACTCGGATCCTCGCCCGCACAGACCCACATCTCAGGCAGAGGCCGCACGCCAAGGCCCAAAGTTTAACAAAAATGATCTGTGGCTTAAGTTTCTGCAGGTGGCATTTTGGCTTTGTCCTTCCCAGTGCCAGGACATTGTCCTCTGGGTTTGAATCAGCGATTTGACTGAGCCAGGAACCAGGCTCGGGCCCTGACGCTGGCCAGAGAGGCGAGCAGGCCAGGCGCCTTTCCTCCCGCATCCCCAGGCTGTGTTTACCTGTTTGTATTTCCTGTAACAACGCTGGATGACCGCGGCAGCCACTTCCTGCTGTTCCCGCAAGGGCCGGCCCTTCAGGGTAATGGGGAGGGGGGAGTCAATAATTAATGACTCTGTACAGGCAGCATCAACCTCCCTACGCTCAAGTACAATCACCCATGTTAAAGTGCCCAGCTCAGAACAGAGACCCCAGCTCAGCCCAAATACCGCGTAACTCCTTTAAATACAAGTCAGGAAAAACAAACGTTTCAGAATAAACCTCCAGCTACTTTGCCTCCTCTGAATAGAACCCTGGTTTCTGGCTACCAGGAGGCCTAACAACCTTCGCTTTCCAAAGATCAGGGTGGGGCAGAACTGCCCGCCCCTCTCAGCCAGCGCCCACCCCCTTCCCCGAGCTACGGCTCTCTGCGCCAGGCCTGACGACTCCCGGCCCGTGAAGGCCTGTGAGAGCAAGATGCCTCTGCGACCCGGTGCGAGGCCACAAGGGCACATAAAGCGACGGCTTTACCACATTTCGGGGGCTCTGGGCTGCCTAGACTCAGTCCCGGGGCTCCAGGTGGAAACCCCGACCTCTGTCGCAGCTCCGTGGGTGTGGGCTCCCGTGCACGCGAGCCGCGTAAGCAGCCACCCCTTGTCAGTCCTGACCTCGCAGGCCGGGCCAGCGACAAGCACCCCGCTGCCGGCCAAACGTTTCACTAAAGCGTCTAAACTTCATGGGACATAAACACCTTCAGTAAACTTTCTATAAACTCAACGTAAAAAAAACCAAAAGCCCAAACCCTGTTTTTGGCTGAACCGTTCTGACTTTCCGCGTGGGGCCCCGGGACGGGGGCGCCCTCACCCTGTATTTCCGGAACGCCGTCTGGACGAGCCTGGCGGCCTCGTAGAGCTCCCTCTGCTCGTGGTCGGACAGGGTCAGCTGCGCAAAGTCGTTCTCCACCTTCTCGCTGGTGGACGCGCTCAGGAACTCTGACCAGTCCGCCGCCGAGGGCAGGCTGGGCTTCTCGAAAGCGATTTCACTGACGGGAGAGCCAACGGGGCTCAGGCTGGTGTTGGAAGTCGGGGTGAGAGGCTCGTTATATGTGCTCCTGAAACAAGAGGCGGCCCCCGCCTGGTGACTGCTGTGCCCCACCCACCGCCCGGCCCGGCACCCTGACGGGCGGCATGTGGGGTCCCAGTGAGCACCGCCTGTGCCCCCACCACAGTGGGCGGCCACCCCAGACTACGGCGGTGATGGCCGCTTGGGACTGCGCGCTCAGCACTGTGCTGGACACCCTGCCAGGACTCCCACCAGCGTGGCCTCCCACCAGCGTGGCCTCGGGCAACTGCCCCGCTCTGGGAGGAGGCACCCAGTTTGTGGGCTCACAGCCTCTGAAATGGGGAGCTGCATCACAGGCCAGGAGGACAGGGGACCTGGGAGAGGAACTGCGCTGGCTTGAGTGTCTCCTTCCTCCCTGACAGGGTCTTAAGCACCCGGCCGTCCTCAAATCCACCCAGCCTCCTGGCCCCCAGGGACGTCGGGAAATCAGCATGGGCGGAGGGGGCCCAGGCGGACCTGATCTGGGCGGCGCTGGGCAGATGGTCGACGTCCGCGAGGTAACTGGCCAGCCAGCTCATGGTGCTGCTGACGGTGGCCGTGTCCGTCCGCTCCAGGGCCGCAGGCTCCATGGGCACGAAGTTCTCCTGCTTGATCCGGTCGGGCGTGGCTTCGATGATGTGCTCGGCCAGGGTCATCATGTTCACCTGGAACCCAGGGCGCAGCGACATGCAGCTCAGCGGGGTGCCCAGGGCTACCCCAACACCCCGTGGACAGAAGGCGGGGCTTCAGCCCGGCCCCACAGAAGCGGAGCCGCCGCAGGTCCCACAGCTGCCCAGGGCGCTGGTCGCTCTGAGGCAGTCTGGCACCGACCTGCCATCGAGCCCTGGGGAACTCCCAGTCTGTGCCCACCCTGCTCCCGTGAGAACTGGCTGCTGGAGAGAGCGACGGGTGGCAATGCAGGAGGCTGTCACGCTAGTGTGGTGACACTGCTGCTTCCACCCCATGGGCCTCCCCAAGAGACCCCAGATTTGCAGAGTGCAGCAAAGTGCCCACCCCAGCGGTCAGCTCAGGGTGGACACAGCTGGGGATGTTAATTTTGTTCTTGGTTCCCCTCCTTCCCAGGCATCTTGGACAAATGAGACACCCAGACATCTCGGGGAGCACTGGGGTGAAGCTTTTGCCTTCCAGAAGAGAGGTGCTGGTCACATCACCCAGCCCTCTCCACCCCACCTGGCAACAGGCGAGCTTGAGCTGCCATCTTGTGCCGCCAGGCAACAGGCACAGAGTGCAGAGAACCCCAGAAGAAGACTGAGCCCCCACTGGGGTATCACCAACACCGAGTGTCCGGGCTTCTGGTCACATGAGGAGAAAGAATCACGTTTCCAATGAAACCACGGCAAGTAGGTGGCTGAGGCCCGCACCTGCCCACACACAGCCCGGCAGGCGCAGTCGGGGTCTGCAAGTCGCCTGGAACGAGGTTTGCTTTATCGGAGTCAGCAAAGTGGCCTTGGTTCTAAAAAATTCCCCTGCAAGTCTCTTAAATGTGGAAATTGGAGTTCAGCAGGTTAAGTTCCGTTTTGTTTGGAATGGAGGCGATGGGCTTCTGGCCTGGGTGCGGTTCCGGGAACACCCGCCACCAGGTCCTCCTTGGGCTGCTGGGCTGCTCCCCCTCTAGCAGCCTCAGTTCCGCAGTCAGGTTTCCGGGGTCTGCTGGCGTGGAGACACAGCCCGCATACTCGTTACTGAAGCTTCCTCCCCGCGGGCTGGGGATCCCCTGTGCTGTTCCTGTCCAGATGAGCTGGTGACCCCGAGCCGCCGGCCTGACCCACGCCGAGGCCTACGGGGCGGGTGGCTGGCTACAGCTTTGACACAGAGGCTCTAGCGGTTCTAACTCAGTGGGGGGAGAAGACCCCAGGCAGGCGCACAGCGCCCCCAGTGCAGAAGCCGCTGGCGCTGCACGCATGCTCACGCACTCCCTGCTGTCTGCAGACCACGCAGCCCGCGCCTCATCTGCTCTTTGTCTTGCTGTTCAGCCAGACACTGCGACACTTACGCTCTCTCTCTTCTTTCTATATTCACGTTTCTTCTACCTTCACCCACCACATCTCGCTGACGTTCTCTGTGTCATTTCGTTTCAGCAGTGTCTTTTACAAGCCACACACAGCATATTTTACTTTCTTTTTACCCAGTCTGAAAATCTTTAACAGAATTACCAAGTGTGAATGAGTCACATTTTGACACACTGCAGAAAATATTCCTGCACTAGGAGACCTGTTTGTTATTTCGGTGGCATCTGATACTATTCTCCGGCGTTTTCCTGAAGAGTTACATTTTCGCTGTTCCTCTACCAACAACTAAGACATTCTACAGGCTGCTTTTACACTCCCTACAACCCAACATTTCTGACAAGCTTATCCTAGCCTGTATTTACCTCCCAGCATGACAAGTTGAACAGAATCTGTGGCTGTCAGAGAGCGACTTGATTGCACTTTGATCTTCTTTTCCTTACTTCCCTCGTTTGTGAAAACAACTCAGAACCTTAAGTCCTCTCCTGTCTAAGAGGCCCTCGCCGGCCCTGCGGCCGTACACCAACCACACCGGCGGGCAGCTGTCCTGCTCTGTCCTCGCTGTCCGGACGTGGGCTTGGCGTGTCTGGAGTCACCCCATTATTTTTAATTGCTACCTTCCCATTTGGCTGACACATTTCTTTAGGCTGTTGCTTTTTGCAGATGTGTCTTCTTAAGTTGGTAAAGCTGCATTCTCTTGATGCTCAGTGAAAACAGTGGGAGATCTTTCACTTCCGTTTGCCTCAACTGTTTCAGGAAAGGCAGCTGCCACCCTGCCGCGCTAGCCAACAGCTCTCTGAACCTGAGCAGTTCAACTTCAGCAAGATGGCAGGATTAGGCCCTGAGTCCCTCTAGTCTTGGGCCCAGGCTCAACTCCCATGGCCAGTGAGGCGGAAGGAAGGCTCCATCACTGCAGAGCCTGGAGAACGCAGCTCTGCTCCCTGTGCCCCGCCGGTTTCCCTCCCCCACGCCGATCGCCGCAGCCTGCCGGCTCATTATCCAGCGCCCCTGTTTATAAGTGCTGTTCTCGAGGACGTAGGGGAGCTCCCGCTTGGTCCACCAGGGACCGCCCCCCAAGCACCCCCTGCCTGCATCGCAGCTCGGCAGGCGACCGCCCGTCAGAGCGCGTCTGAGCTGGAGCGCGGCGAGTAGCCGTGACAAGTCTGGCCCTGACTTGGCCCATCAGAGTAAAACGTGCCGACTCCTTGATTAAAATTTCACTTGATGGGTGACTGGATTAAAAAGATGTGGTACATATACACGATGGAATATTACTGAGCAACCAAAAAAAGTAACCACATGCCTTTTGCAGCAACATGGATGGAGCTGGAATAAGCCAGAAAGAAAAGGAAAAATACCAGATGGTTTCACTCATAGCAGGAGTATAACGGACCAGGTGAGAAAATAACAATAATGATGAACAGCCATAGATCAGAGACATTTTATGGGGTGGAGTAGGGGAATGGGATCAAAAACCGGGGGGGGGGGGGGGGAGGGAAATGCACGGGACTATGGTGATGGCACAGGATGATCTGGTGATGGGAAGCTCATGGGGAGTACAACTGAGATGGAAAAATGCACAAAAATATGTAAAAATAAACCATTGTTAAAAAAAAAATTCACTTGATCTCCCTGGTGTCTGGTGTGGAAGGTCAGCACAGGGCCCCCAGCACAAGGGGTGGGGAAAGGCTGGTACTTCTTGCCCTGGATCTAACAGCGGGGAGCGGGTAGGGCCCCCTGGGGAGCAAAGAAAGGCAGCCCAGCCGGTAGGCAGTGAGCACAAGCCTGTGCCTGGGCGCGGTGAGCGCCCCTCCTGCTCTCACGCTGGGGGAAGCCCAGCCAGCCGCTGCTGTGGGAGTTGTCCTTTCACCTTCGGGGTCCACCCATGGACTCAGAGGGAGCAAGTCAAATGGAGGCCCCTGGCTGCCCCTCTGGCCCCACCTCTTGTAATACTCGCTTATGCAGTAGCCTTGGGCTACAGTCGCCTAATCCACCAGTTTAACGGCCCAGGGGAGTCTGGCTTCTCCTGCACTGTCACTAAGGGCAGTCAGCTCTGGGGCGAGCTCCTCCTCTGGCAAGATGACCTGAGCTGACCGCGGCCCCCCTGCCTAGGCCTCCCACTCCTTCGGCGCTAACGGCCACCCAACACAGGGGACCCCTCCTCCCTGCCCGGGCAGGGCCAGCAGGTCAAGAGAGGGTGCGCAGAGGCAGCCCTGTGCGGGAAGGCTCTCTGAGGGCCGGCAGCAGGTGGCGGGGCTCAGTTCACAGCGCCCCAGGCACTGAGAGTCCTGGTGGCACACGCAGAGACGTCCCTCGGCCTCATGCGCATGCGCCACGGGCCTCCTGACCCTGCACTGGCAAGGCCACCGTGACACCTGGGGCCGCTGACCGCAAAGCTCCAGGACCCCGGGCACCGCCGCAGCGGCCCTGCCCGGGCCTTACCTGGATGTCGTCCAGGGGCTGCGAGCACTCCTCGCTCTCGGCACTGCCCCGGCAGGGCCCCATCTCTGTGTCCACCACCTCTCTGTTAGCCATCATCAGCACACTCATTGGCTCCCGGGGACGCACCTGGGGAGGTGCTGCCTCCTTTCCTACACTGGTCCCCTTCGGGCTTCCAGCCACCTGCACTGTAGACACACCAATGTAAAGATCTTTGGAACTCCACTTTACTACAGGCTGAGATCCAGAGGCTCGGAGTCCTGCAGGCTCGGGAGTGGGAGGGGAGAGGTCCCGGCTGTAGTCCCTCACTCCTTCACTGGGGCTGATTGCCTCGGGGACACACTGCTTAGAACTAGGGCCCTGCTTCCTGAGATTGGGCCGTTCCAGACTCAGTGCAGTGGGCAGCAGCTTCTCCTGCCTCGCCTGGAAGTGCTCAGGGTTCAATTTATGCTTTTTGGGAGCTGGATAATCTTTGTGGCTCTCACTGCTGTAGTAATTAGAGGGTTCAGACCGAGGTCTTCTCAGCTCTGAAAAGTACAGTAGAAAGGACAGTCAGGATAGGCGGTAAAGTCAGGAAACCTAAAGATCAACACTTTCTCTACGCCTGAGCGACACAAGGGGCCAAGCGGGAACTCGGGGCGCGCCCCTCACTTGTCAGTATCCCCAGCAGCAACACCGCATTCACGTCCGCCGCCTCCTCCACAACGCGCACCTCTTTCTGGCGAGGACATGGTGTTGGCTGCTTCCTGCACATGGCGGGGGCGGGGGCACTGGCATCTTACAGCCATTAGGAAAACCAGAAACAGAAAGAAGCCGGATAAATAAAGCCCTTAAAAGTGAGGCTACGCTAGGACTCTCCTGGGGCAGCGGGGTGGGCTGGGGGCCGCGGCGTCAGGCCGTCGGTCTGGGGCGGGGTGCAGGGCTACCTGGGTTGGTGCTTGCGATGACGGTGACGCCTTTGGGAATTTCCGGAGAGTGGGTGGCTTCGCTGTGCCACTGGGCCATCCAGCTGTCTGGGTCGGGCTCCTCGCCGGGGGGACAGTGCGCCCGGGGGCTCTGGCCCAGCTGCGCCTGCTCGTCCCGCTGCAGGTGCTCCAGGCACTCCGCTAGCTTCACGTGGCCCCGCGACCTGGCGATGCCCAGGGGCAGCCGTCCCAGCGAGTCAGGGATGGAGATGGCCCGGCGGTCCCACTTGTACAGCACGACGGCGGCCTCCAGGTGGCCGAGGGCACAGGCCCACATCTAGGCGAACAACACGGTGGCGGCCACGCCTGACCATCACGGCCGCCGCCGCCGAGGCACCCCGCGGCCATCTCGGCCACTACGGCCCGCACAGCCTCTCGGGTCGGGGCAGGAGCCGCCACGCCGGGCCAGAGGCAGGGGGCGGGGCGCCCTTACCAGAGGAGTGCAGGAGAAGTGGTCCACGTTCAAGGGGTCGACCTCCAGCTCCAGGTCGATGCTATCCGCGTGCTTCGTGCTGAAGGACAAACCACCGCGTGTGGTTAGCCCGCCCTGAAGGAAACCCCAGCTGGGAGGAACTCCCCAAAGGTGAAGCCAACCTGGGAATCTAACACCTCTGACACGAAGCCCCAGAAGGGGGTGGGGGAGGCTCTGCCAAGAGACCAACCAAACCCAGCACCCACCTGCGTCTTGCTTGGCAATTTTGGACAGAATTTCACCGGACCCAGGGCCACATCCCCAGAGAAAGCCCTCTCCAGAGGGCCAGGGAGGGCCACGGTCCGGAGAAAGCTCTGTGCCCGCAGGCCGGGGAGGGCCACGGTGGGCCACGTCCCCGGAGAAAGCCCTCTGCCTGCAGGCCGGGGAGGGCCACGTCCCCAGAGAAAGCCCTCTCCAGAGGGCCAGGGAGGGCCACGGTCCGGAGAAAGCTCTGTGCCCGCAGGCCGGGGAGGGCCACGGTGGGCCACGTCCCCGGAGAAAGCCCTCTGCCCGCGGGCCGGTGCTCCTAGCAGCCAGCCTTGGCCCCTGGCAGGGAGACCTTGCGGGGACTCCGCGTGCTGGGGCCGGAGCCCGCCGGGGCTGCAGCAGCCTTACCGCCACTTGATGAGGGTCTGGATGAGGGTGGCGTAGCCCTGGGCCGCGGCCAGGTGCAGGAGGGTCATCCCGCGGAAGGTCTTGGAGTGGATCAAGTGCTTGGACTTGGCCCAGCAGGCGCGGCTCATCATCTTCTCGCAGACCACCACCACGCGGCTCTCGAAGCAGCCCCCCAGCGTCCCGGGGGCCGCAGCACACTGGGACGGGAGAGCACAGGTCAGCGGTGGCCCCGAGGCCCACTCCACGGCAGCCTGACCAGGGGACACGGGGCCTCACAAGTTGCCGCTCAGGAGACGCGGCTGAAGACGGGACGCGGACAGGGAGTGCGCCCCGCCCCACCCGCCGGGCAGGGTCGCCCGGGCTCTGGGGACAGCAGCGTCCACCGCCTACAGCTGACCATAAACTTCATGAGGCTCCACCTTGGAAAACGCCTACTGCTCACCAAAAAAAGGGCCCTGACCCCAGCTGAGGTGACCCTGTGGGGAGAGGAGGCGTCACCGGGCTCCGGCCAGTAGGTCATGAAGGCACTTGGGGTCCAGCAATAACCCGGCCCTTTACAAGCAGCAAAGGCCGCGGGGGGCAGCGCCGTGGCCACGACATGCGCGGCGGTCAAGGACAGCGCAGCCCCGGCGCGAGCAGCCCCGTCGTCTGGCCACACAGCTCCCCCACGAAGCAGCTGGACAGGAAGAAAAACAAAACCTAAGCCGGCAGCCGCAGCCTGGGGCCGGCCCGAGGCCTGGCAGCAGCCCGTCACCCACCGTTCTGCTGCTAACAGCCCCGCAGCACCCGAGGAAACGGCTGCCCCACTGTTCTTGGTTTTTAAATCTGGAACAGGCCGGAGGCGGTGTCGAGGCCCTCCCCGCTCGAGCTGTGGACCGTCCTGCAGCAGCACGGCTGGGAGGCCCACGCGCACAGGCCGACACTCGGGCGCGCGGACGCCGCGGCCAGTGAGCCAGGAGGGGTCTCCCCGCAAGAAGCCCAAGTGGCCGGGCCGCCACGCCTGCGGCAGACACAGCCTTTAGCCAACGAGACGACAGCGCCCTCGAGGGCCGCCGAGGGGCCAGGTGCTGACGGGCGGCTGCCAGGGGCTGATGGCCACACACCGGTCTCCCGGGGCGCTGGCCAGCACGAGACGTGCTCTGCGCGGGGCAGGGCAGGTGGACGGACGCCGTCTCGGCCCTTCGGCCCCGCGGTGGCCCCACGCCGCTGTGCCCGCTGATTTCTGACAGGGAGGGACGCTTAAGAAAAACTGAGCTTAGGTTGGGGTACACTACGCTTCGTTCTCCCCTGCCAACAGCTGGACACTGTAAGCACCATAAAATGCAAAATGTTTGCTTAAAAAAATAATCTCAAAAAAAAAAAGTAATCTTTCAAAAGAAATCGTTTGTCATGAAGGCAAAGGGGGAGGCACAGTTTGGGGTGCAGCTCCACAGCGGGGTTCCTTTAAGCCATTCCAGGCGCCGGGACAACAGTGCCTGCCGGGAGACGTCCGCACACGCGACCCAGGGGCCCGCCCGCATCGGCTCAGTCCCGCTGCTGGGACGCCACACATGCCGGGTGGCAGTCACGGAGGGAACGAGGACGGCACCGCTCCCGGGCCCTCTGTCGGGGCTTCTTGGGCCGCGCCAGTCACGAACGCCGGGAGCCCCCGTGGTTGGCGCTCGCGCGTCAGG